TCTAGATTAGATTAGATAGTACTGTATTCCTCATTATCTTAAAGTTGTGTGTTCTCTTTATCGATGAAATGCAATTAAACCCTCCTTTTTTTTTTTTTTTTTTATGCATTGGAGGGATAATTGTTTAGCATGAGAGAGGTCCATACCCATTACTTTTGCCCCAAATTTAAGTTTTTTAGTTAGTAAGGATTAATTCAGCCAAGATTTTCTTTTCCCTTCTAACATTTGCAGTTCGTCCTGTCATATGCTCTGCGATATCCAGCCAACTCTTTGCCATTTCCTCCACTAAGCATTTCTATGTAAAAGTGCTGTTTTTTAAAATTAATTCAACAAAAGATGTACTAGAGAATAACCTTAAAAATTTCAATCTGAAGCACGACACAGTAAGGTCATTTTAATTGGGTTGAGAAGCAAGTCAGCATCATCCAGCTCGTAGTTTTGTTAGAGTTGGCAATGAACAGTTTTAGGTGGTCGTGAAACCTCATTCTGGTGGCCTGAACATTTGCTATTATCATCTGATTGTTATTAGTGGTTGCCTTTGCTGCAGCCTTTTGTGACGATCATGGGGAATTAGTGATATGGGGCTGTGAAAGAACACAATATGAAGGAGTCAAGGATCAAGGAATTCGTCACTGGAGCAAACCTGGATACGCGTTTTCTATATTTGGAATTGGATTGGTGCCACCCATCAAATGTAACCTGCAGAAAAGAAACAAACTACTGGGTTCTGCTTCAATTCCTGGTGAGTTTACTGCCCGCCGAGATTAGTTTCTGTTATGGTATTTTATTTTTTATTTTTTTTGTCCCTCAAAATCAAAGTTCTTAGGGGCCTTATTTCATTTTTAATTAATAAATATAAAAATTATGTCAAACATATATTAGTTCATTATAAACACATGTTTAATTTTTATATCAATTGAAATTTTTTGAGATAAACATGATAGAGCAATTTATTAACAGGAAAGAAAGTGAAAATCAAAACGCCCTAATATTAAAATTACCAAGACTTTTAATTAAGATCATTTATTAAGTGGGTGCTTAATTGTGCTCCACTTAATAAATAGTTCTAATTAAATGTCTTGACAATTTTAATATCAGGATGTCCTAATTTTTCACATGTTCATTTATTAAATTTTCATTAACTTCTTTTATTTTTGCATCTATAATTATTATTATTACTCAACTTCAAGGTGCATTTGCACACTTTGTCTGTATTAAATTTAGTTAGGTATTTATTAATTATAAATTTTTTATTAATAATTAAAATTATTCTTTTATAAGTACTAATTTTAAATGTTATAATTTATAATAAAAATTTTAAATGTAAAATATGAAAGAAGATTTAAGCATATAAATTTAATCTTTTTAATTAGCATTTTATTAAAAAACAACTATTGCTTAATATTTAGAATGTTTATAAGGATATTCTCATGATATTTAATCAAGTTTTAGTAAATTATTATAATTTTTTTTATCTTCTAATACGTTATGGTTATTTTTCTCCATATATCTTTCTATTAATACTTTACATTCTCTAGTTCTTTATTAAAATATTGAACTAATAACAAAAGGTATAAGGAAAACTTTCACTGATAGCAATATCAACTACATCAAGAAACCTAGTTAACTCATCTTTCCCCGCAGCACTTGCATTCCATATCCAATGAAAACACAATAAAATCCCAGGATAAGATTGTCCTTAATTTGATCAACTTATTGTTGGCTGGAGAATTACGGTCCATTACAAACCAACAAACAAAATAAAGAGAAGGACGCTAATATGTGCACCTATAGGTTCAATACCTGGTGGGACGCATCCTATTCTAAGTTGCACTTTTGACCAGTATGGGATAAGACGTGGAAATACTTGAGCCAACAGCCATTCATTTATCCATTTTGTATTCTTGTTTCCAAACAGGCTGTAAGAAGAATTATTGCTGTGGAATAGAATATGATGATATCACCGTCCCCACTACCACTGCATATTTCATTGATTTGTTGGAAAACAATAATGAGGGAGAAGTAGATCCTGCTGAGAGTTGGCATCTGCTTGGAATGCATAGTCCCAATCTTTGTCATGCCCTTAGCAACATTTCTGAGACATCCCAAATCAAAACATTCATTTTAGATTACTTTAATCATGCTGCCATTGATGTTGTTGATGAATTCAAAATCCCCACTTATTTTTTCTTCCCCTCTTCCACTAGTTGTCTTGCAATTTTCCTTTACTTCCCCACCCTTTGTCATAGTACCATTCAAAATTTTAAAGACGTTAATAAACTACTAGAAATTTTTGGTTGGTCATCATTCTCAGTCTCTGAAATTCCAAGATGCTGTCGATGGGGCTCGGGTTCACTCAATCGGACTCCCAAAAACTATGATTAATTGTGGTAGATAGGCGGCGGCCTCAATTGACAGGGGTGGGCAAATGGAGTGCAGGCTCTTTAAGGGGTCACTGACGCACTTCTTAGATGGGAGCCAAATGAAAGTGGACACAATCGGTCATTGATGGGGGCTTGGGTTCACTCAATCGGGCTAATTTCTACCGTGGTGACCTACATATTCCCTTCAAGGTGACCTTCAAGAGTTGCATTCAACTAGAATGAAGGCGAGGAAGAGTTTTTGGTTCACTGGTGGAGAATTTCCTTCTATGTCATTGTGTCGGATCTAACCAATAGATTTCTTCCAGATAAGCATAGTATAAAGTCTTATCTCCAATTTATGTTTATTTTTTTTACTCAATTGCTTGTGTGTAGGGAGATGTATGGTTTCATCATGTAAACGTAGCATTTCCCTAAAGAGAAATAAGGAATTGATAAAAGTAATGAAACAATTGAGCTTAATAAAGCAAGTAAGAATCTGTGGAACAAGAAGGTATACAAAGGGTATATATATTTTTTGGGTAATTTGATAATGGGCTATATATACATAAGGGAATAGCTCTCTTCTTGTTTGAAATCTTTTTTTACCTAATTTGATATTCAAATTTAAGATATTTAATTTATAATCTCAAATTTTTAATCAGTTGAACCTTCTTTTAGCACAAAAGGTATATATATACATAAGAAGGTAGTGTAGAATAGGAATATTCAATTCATTATGAATAAGATACCAAATCCTAGTCAACATTGAATTATAGTGGTCAATGAGAATACATTTTTGATATAATCAAACTTCTGAGTTTGCTATTAAGATTGAATTGTATAGGGGTGGGTATTTTTAGGTATAATTATAAGTTATACTTAGTTCCAGTTTGGTATAGTGGTTTTGGGGTAGTGAGTAGCAGTTTTACCTAAATTGTTAAATATAGGTGTTTGGTAAATTTATATATTTCGAAACCACTACAACTAAAGTGTTTGGTAAAATTTTTATTTAGCGGTTTGAAATTAGCGGATAGCGGTTAGGGTCCAAATCGCTAGCGAATTGAAAAAGTTAGTTTATGTAGATTTTTGTACCAAACCGCTAGCGGATTAAAATTTTTTTATTTTATTGACAAATTTATCCATTTTAATTTTTTAATTTGTGGTCACATTTTTTAATTAATAATTATCTAATAAATTTCA